ATACTTCCGGCCTTTTGAAAAACTTACGAGATCTTAATTAAGGAGCAAATAAATACTTTTCTTAAGAGTATAAATTACTTAACAACAGCCAATCCGGAAACGTTATAGCTTGGAAAAAAATGTATATTAGGAACGGATCAGACGGGAAGGGAATTCAAGGGAATTTCCAACAGTGATAGAATATTTCGTCGAATTTCCTATAATGTAAACAAGGAGCTATATACATAGGTCTACTCAAAAGAGCTTCAACGGACAGAATGTTAGAGCAACACAATGCAGATGAATCCTCTAATTACACACTTTGGAAACTAACCAAACGCTACAAAAGACAAACTGTCCCACAATATGCTGTTAAAAAATTTGACGGGACATGGGAACGTTCTTTTAAAGACGGAACTAAGGGCCTTTGCAGTTACCTGATACTCAGTCAATATTTGGAGGACACATTACACTACGAAAAGTGTGTGCCCCCGGTTTCACAAATTTTTGGTATCGATGTGTTTCATTTTTTCATCGGTTCTGACAAACAAAAACAGCTGACTTGATTGCTTTGAAAATATACAGCAGTATATTTTCAAGACATCAAGACGATCAAAACATCTTAGATGCAACCCTTGTGTATTTAACATGTCTGACAAACTGTGAGTAACAGCATGCATATTGAAAATAAAAATAAAAAGTTAATTTGTTGCACCTACATTTTGAATTAAATGTTACGGTAACTTACTCCTTACTCAAATTTTCTGTTACGTGCGTGTTACAAGCACAGTGTGTGCTGTTACATGTACATTTGTGCTGTTATGCGGAAAAATTTAAGTTTTGCCAACTTTCCGATAACCAAATCGGACTGCTCATGATACTAACTAAACAATATAAAACGCTTTCGAAACAGATTAATAGCTTAAGTCCAAACATCCTTGTTTTCAAAAAATTCTTAAATCAAAAAGTATTCACTTTTATAATTGTACGGAAAAATTCATCCTAGGTTTCGAGTCTTTGTTATTACGTTTAGTTCTATGAATGTTAAAGAGTATGTAATGAGTTAGTTAAATATTTTTTTTTTTTGAACCTCCTAGGTGTTTACAGTTTAAAAAGTTTTTTACGCGAATGCTTGGCACTTCCTAATTTGTAGATTGATTCGATATTTATATCGTTATGCCAACCTTTTTTAAATATTTCTTAAAATTTAGATAGTCTCTACTTTCATATTAAAACTTTCTTGATATGCTAAAGATTTTCGATCAGATTAAAACCAGGACCATTTCCCTGCCAGTCGAATGTCTCAATTCCCACTATGTAGAAATATTATTTAGCTAAGATAGCCCATCGTTGGAAAAATCAAACTTTTTGAATATATCATTACACGATACAATAACAAAGCTTGAAAAAATATGCTGACTAATCTTGCACGATGGCAAGGAGCAGAATCGTCCTAGAAGATGAGGGCGTCAGCAAGCGGAATGTGGTGCTCATTAGGCGGAATTAGGTTTCCCTGAACATTTTTTATTTTAAAATAAAACGTTGCTGCTGCGACTCCAACTCTACATTTATACCCGATACTTTGTCAGTATGGCTCTCCTCCGACAGACCGCGCTAGAAAAGAGTGCGTGCGAGAGGCGACAGAAAATCAATCTGAACGAGTCGTCGGGCGTTGCGTAGCCACTGCATACGCTGCATTCTAATAATAATAATCTTATCTGATTAAGATTGGGCAATCTGGTAGAAATGGTTCTCTATGATAATGCGTTTTAATTTTCCCGTATCTGCAAAAGTGTGGATGGCGAAGTGGCGAACGGGGGTTGAGCGAATTTTTGAAATACACTTGTAACAGTGAGATCTAACAGGAGTGTGGATACCATATTTGGTATGGGTGGTGCGAAATTTTGAAATACACTTGTGCAGGTTCGATATCACAGGAGTGTAGATACCAAATTTGGTTGCCACAGCGATTGTGCGTTGATCATGCACTAATCTTCTCAAGTTCTACAGTGGTGGACAGTGAAATGTGGGCACTCATGTTATCTAACTTCACCGATGGCACGTATTCAAAAACTCAAAAGTCATTCGGGAAACCTTTTTATACCCGATACTCAAAATGTGTATTGGGTATATTAGATTTGTGGTGAAAATAGATGTGTGTAACGTCTAGAAGGAATCGTTTCCGACCCCATAAAGTATATGTCGGAGATTATGAAATAATTCCAGTATTTTTAAATAAAATAAGTAATTGACTCACAATAAAATTATTGATATATTCAATATATACAATGTTGCTAAGAGCATAGTCTGAGCGAGAGAGAGAGCGTCTCAGATGAGCATGTTGCTAGTGTATTTGTTGAGAGTCAGTCGAGATTGGACTACGAAAAGAACGCGACGCAAGTGACTTGCTGTGCTACAGCTGTGATACAAAATGGCGGATGAAAATCAAGAGAACGATGTGCCGCATCAGGGTCTTCATGTTCCGACATCAGAAGTGGGATCGGCCACGCCACCAGACCACTCTGACAAATACTGGCGTACACTTCTCGAGGCCCAGAACCGAAATTTCATGGAGCTTATTAAATCAATGCAGGCATCAAAAAATTCGGATGAAAAAGCCAAAGTTGTAACCTTGCCAAAGTACAACCCCGACGCTGTAGGTGCAGATGCCTCTGCTTGGTGCAAAACGGTGGATATAATCATGGCAGAGAATCCGCTAGAGGGCAGCGCACTTGTGATGGCACTCAGTGACTCGCTGGAGGGAGGAGCATCACAGTGACTATCACAGATCTGTTACACAGGAATCAAATGTCCTGCGTTTCGAGATCTATTTGTTCAGCGCTACGAAGGAATAGAGACGGCGGCAGCCATTTTGCTAAACATCTTCAATGGCAGCCCGAAGCCGAGCGAGTGTTTGTCGGTATATGGCAGCCGCTTGGTGACGTCACTGCTATCAAAATGGAAAATGATGACTCTGGAGGAAATAGCAGTGTCTTTTGTGCTTGCTCATACGTCTAAAATAGACAACAGACTGCAGCGCTTGATATTCACCACCAATATCAGAACACGTAGCGAATTGGAGCAGCACTTGCGAGCGTTTGCGTATGGTAAACGGAGTGATCAGTATACGGCAGATCAAGGTCATGGCACTGAACGAAAGAAGCAAAAATTGACATCGCATATACGTGCCATTCTTGTGGTAAAGTTGGACACAAAATTGCAGAGTGCCGAAACAGGAGAGCTGGAGAGTGGAATGCGTTCAAGGGTCATCAGACGCACGGCAACACGTCACAGGGCAAGGAACGAGCAGCAGTGACATGTTTTAAGTGTGGCAACCCTGGACATATTGTGTCTGTATGTACCAAAGGTACCTCAGCGTCAAGTAAGAGCAGCACATACGAGAAGCGAGTAGATGTGTGTACCGTGATGGAGCCGAGAGGAACCCTGCATCAGTTTGGTGAGCCCGTTCCATTCTTCTTTGACTCAGGTGCTGAGTGTTATTGAAAGAAAAACTGGCTGAAAAGTTTGCAGGCAAGAGATTGAACAATAAGGTAGTTTTAAAAGGAATTGGGGAAAGTTCTATATCATGTAATTTGCAAATCTTATCAACAGTCAAAATTTGTGAATATTCCGTAGAAATCTTATTTCACGTGGTAATGAATGAATGTATAAAGCATGATGTGTTAATCGGCCGCGAGATTCTGAGTCAGGGTTTTAATGTTTCCATAGATGCCAACAAATTTGAGATATATAAGATCAAAACTGTCAACACGCTGTCGGACATTGCCAAAGTGGATTTTGCAATGCTCATAAATAATGATCCAGAGTTGCATGACTCAGACAAGGCCAAACTAGTCAAATTATTGGAGCCATACGCGCACAGATTCATAAAGGGTATCCCAAATAGTCGAGTAACAACTGGTGAGCTAGAAATCCGTTTGATGGATGCAAATAAAACTGTAATGAGGCGTCCGTATAGACTTAGCTCAGAAGAGAAAACGTTAGTGAGAGGCAAAATACAGGAACTCATAGCGACTGATGTCATCCGCCCGAGCTGTTCCCCATTCGCCAGCCAATGCTGCTAGTAAAGAAGAAAGACGGAAATGATCGACTGTGTTTAGATTATAGAGAATTGAACGCGAATACGATTGCGGATAAGTACCCGCTGCCCTTGATATCTGACCAGATCAACAGACTGCGTGGCAGCAAATTCTTTTCAAGCTTGGATATGGCGAGTGGTTTCTATCAGGTACCCATACATTCGGACTCGATAGAACGCACAGCATTTGTAACACTTGAGGGTCAGTACGAGTTTCTGTCCATGCCGATTGGCCTGAAAAACGCATCATCTGTTTTTCAACGAGCAATAACATGAGCTTTGGGAGAACTGGCCTATTCGTATGCCATAGTTTACATCGATGATGTTCTGGTTGTTGCCGGCACGAGGAAGGAGGCGTATGAAAGACTTGAAAAGGTGTTGAACGTACTAATTGGGGCCGGATTCTCATTTAATATAGCCAAGTGTACTTTTCTGAAACCAAGCGTAGAATATCTGGGGTTCAAAGTTTAAGATGGCGAATTAAGGCCGAATCCGCGTAAGATAGAAGCGTTGGCTGCTCTGTCGGCACCACAATCTGTGACCCAACTGAGACAGTTTTTGGGTTGTCATCCTACTTTCGGAAATTTGTTCCCAGGTTCTCCGAGGAAATGAAGTCATTATATTTTCTTACCTCTAAGAACAGCAAATTTTAGTGGGAACCAAAACATCAACAGGTGCGACAGAAAATTATATCAACGCTAGTTAGCGACTCCGTTCTGATAATCTTCGATCCACAATACCCTGTTGAGTTGCACACCGATGCTAGTTCGATTGGTGATGCACATTGATGCACAAGGTAAATGGCAAACCGAGAGTGATTGAATATTACAGCAAATGCACTACAGCAACCGAATCAAAATACTACTCGTATGAGCTGGAAACACTAGCCGTGTTTAATGCTGTTAAACATTTTCGCCATTACCTGCATGGTTGTGCTTTTGTAGTGTAAAGCTAGCCGCCATAAGATAGATTTGTCGCCTCGGGTAAATCGCTGGTGGGCTTATCTGCAATCATTTGATTTTAGTGTGGAGTATAGAAAAGGAAATCATATGGCACATGTTGACTTTCTTTTACGCAATTCATTGTCGGTTGAAAAACGTGCGAATGCTGCGAATATAAATGAATTTCGTGTAGAACTAGCGTAAATAACGGATAATTGGCTCTTAGCAGAACAGCAGCGAGATCAAAAGTTAGCAGACGTAGTTTCGAAATTGCAAAATAATGAATTACAGGATGAGATTGCAAGGACATATGAATTGAGAGCGGGTATGCTGTGTAGGAAAATACAAAGAGATGTTCGAACCAGGTGCCTACCTGTAATACCTAGGGCGTTCAGATGGTCAGTCATCAATCACGTACACGAAGCTATAATGCATTTGGGCTGGGAGAAGACTTTAGATAAGGTTTACACACAGTATTGGTATGAAAATATGTCAAAATATGTGAGAAAGTTTGTGGAAAATTGCATTACATGTAAATTGGCAAAACCGGCCACGGGCAAAACACAAATAGAACTGCATTCCATACCTAAGATCGATATACCATGGCATACGGTACACATCGATATCAGCGGCAAGCTCAGTGGCAAGAGTGACCTCAAAGAATACGTGATAGTGCAAGTCGATGCATTCACCAAGTACGTGTATCTTTATCACACTTTGAATCTCGATACAGACAGCTGCATTGAGGCAGTGAAATCTGCCATATCCTTATTTGGTGTTCCCAATCGGATAATCGCAGATCAGGGCCGTAGTTTTGCGAGTAGTGATTTCCGACAGTTTTGCTCTGCACAAAAGATTGATTTTTATCTAATAGCAACTGGCGCTAGTCGTGCGAATGGACAGGTAGAGCGCGTTATAAGTACAATGAAGGCAATGTTGACGGCTGTGGAAAAAAGTAAAAGATCTTGGCAGGATGCGTTGAAAGATGTTCAGTTGGCTTTGAATTGTACAACGAATCGAGTCACTAAGGCTAGTCCATTGGAAATGTTGATTGGGAAAGAGGCAAGGCCATTGGATATGATGCCATTGATAGAAGAAGAAAAGGTAGATGTAGAAGGTGTCAGAACTCGAGCGCGGCGAAACATGATAGAAAATGCAGAATATGACAAACAAAGATTTGATAAAAATAAGGCCAAAATTGTGAGATTTGGCGTAGGCGACCATGTCTTGCTCAAGTGTGAGGAACGTCACCAAACGAAGTTGGATCCTAAATTTAAAGGTCCAGTAAAGTCAAGTAAGAGAACATTTAAGTATGCTCATGAACAGTTACGAGCTATGTCAAGTGAGCTAGTTGCGGCTGAAGAAGTACCATACTTTCCGGCACCAGTGGGTGTGTTGAGATGAATCATACACGAAGGCTACGACTGCACCACGATGGTCAACCGATGGCACAAGTGTGGGCTAAGAGAGAGTCCAAAATGGCGTGCGGCGCGGTTGATGTCGCGTGGCGGGGGTCATGAGGGTCTAGAGAGAGGCCAGGACGCAAAATTTGCGTGAGAGCGTTGTATTGAGACAGCAAGAGCCTGAGAACGTGGTATGAAGGATATGTGAGTGACAATCATGAGAGAAGAGTGAGAGAGTGATGGTGCGATGGTACAATGGTACTATAGATGTAAACGAAACAAGAATTTAAGAGCACCATTGAAAAAAAGAAAATGTGGCTTTGGTATATTGTAAGAATTAAAAGATAAAGATTGAAGAATAAGTTTAAATTGAAATGAGCAATTGAAAATTGGAATTGATTGGAAAATAAGTTTAAGTTGAAATAAACAATTGATTAAAAACAAATAAAAGCGAATGTAAATAAAATGTTAAATTACTTGAGCAAGGGATGGACTACTATGTATTTGTCGTTAATTGGTATGGCCTGGCCCACGAGGACGTGTGAGCGTCAGGAAGGCCGTGTCGGAGATTATGAAATAATTCCAGTATTTTTAAATAAAATAAGTAATCGACTTACAATAAAATTAGTTACTACGATAGCTGTATCGATACATTTCATGATATACAATGTTGCTGAGAGCATAGTCTGAGCGAGAGAGAGAGCGTCTCAGATGAGCATGTTGCTAGTGTTGTTGTTGAGAGTCAGTCTCAAGTGACTTGCTGTGCTACAGCGGTGATACAAAATGGCGGATGAAAATCAAGAGAACGATGTGCCGCATCAGGGTCTTCATGTTCCGACATATATATGTTCTTGATCATCATCAATAGGCGAGTCCATTTAGCCCTGTCTGTCTATCTGTCTGTCCGTCCCTATCAGCGCCTAGTGCACAAAGACTACAAGAGCTAGAGCAACGACATTTTATATGTCACTGTTACAAGTATATTTCAAAACTTTGCCCAGTCCACTTCACCCGCACATAGGGCGAAAATCTGTGGCATCCACAATTTCAAAGATACAGGACAACTGAAAACGCTGAATCGTAATGGATGACTAGATCTTCTAGATTATACGATCTAGAACCAGATCGTATAATCGTATAAAAGAAAGAATCAAGAAAACAATTTCATTCTCTCTCGCTGTGTCTCTCTCTAACACACAGGTTTCATGGTCGGCTTTGCCTATTGCAAAATATGAGTTCAAGGATCTCAGAGAGTATAAAAGCTAGAGCATCCAAATTCGGTATCCACACTCCTGTGATATCCGACCTTGGCCGCTTCGTGTCAAAATTGCGCCACACCCCCTTCCGCCCACGCAAAGGACGAAAGTCTGGGGCATCCACAAATTTCAGAGACTATTAAGGCTAGAGTAACCAAATTTAGTATCCACACTCCTGTCAGATCTCACTATAAAACGTATATATCATTATTTCGCCCCATCCCCTTCCGCCCCCACAAAGGACGAAAATCTGTGGCATCTACAATAGTGAAGATACGACAAAAGTAAAAGCGCACAATCATAAAGAGTGACCATATCTACCAGTTTGTCGAATCTGTATCAGATCGGATCATTTGAATAGCCAAAAGGAACAAATCAATTTGCTGTGCCTACGCAGCGCCCGATTGTCGTGTCGTTTAAAATTAGCGGCGTCTGCCGGAGGAGAGCCATACTGTCTAAGTATCGGGTATAAATGTAGAGTTACGGTCGCAGCAGGAACTCACTACGTTCCCCCTCGTTTATTATGATTAAATGATTTTTGTTTAATTGTTTTGGATGAAGAATAACAATAATAACTAATATTTAGTGATTCCACCTTTGGCATCAATAACGTCCTGCAACCTGATTGGAATTGGTTCCACCAAGTTCCGAGCATTGGCAAGATCCAATTTTAACCAAATTATTGTAATTTCGATGATGATATCGTCGTGTCTTCGATTCTTTGCCCTTTGATTAATGACCAAACGTTTTCAATAATATTCAGATCATGGCTCTGCGTAGTCCATGGAAGAACAGCTATATTGAGATCTTTTACAAATTTAGCTGGTGCCGATCCCTTGTGCCATGGAGCAGCGTCGTGTTGTAGAACCCGGTTGCTGATTGGAAATAGCCTGTCATCAGACACAAAAGCATGATTATTCAATATTAGAAGATAGCCGGTCTGATTGAGAGTGCCTTCTATTGGTACGAAGTCTCCAAATCCATAATACGACGTGCACTCCAGAACACCACTGTGCCTCCACCAAATCTGTTTATATACTGCACTGCATTTGGCTTTTTCCCTTGTGGTAAATGCATGAATCGTTTACAAAATGAGCACTGGAACTGAAAAGCGACCTCATCTGTCCATAAGTTCATCGTCCTGAAGTTGCACTCCAGCTTTCGGATTGGATAGCCAAAAAAAAATTTATATAATGAGCTACAAAGAGGAAAAGTTTTAATGAAAAACTCGAAAACGCAGAACACCGCTGGATACAATAGGAAATGTAGCAACAAGTCTTTTTGTTGTTTTCGACTCAAAATACGCTGAGGAAATAAACAAAGTAATTGAAAGATTGAAAACCAATGAAGACTTTTTATTAAATCTGCTCCGAAATCAAGCATCAATTGTCCAAGCTATAATAAACGTAGTCAGAAAGGCCAAATTATACACGGATAATCGCCTAAAAATGTTGGAACAGCAAGTGACAACTATTAACCGAGAGAGGGGATCATAACACAGCGATTATCTAACCTAAGCGTACTTAACACAATTAACCCTACTCACAACATGTCTCCAACGAATGCAGTCTGGCATATCTGATGTAGTAATCAGTATTCATCATCGGAGAATAAGCCTCACGCTTGTGTCTCCCGAACAATTAAGAGACCAACTAGACCAAATACGGGATCATTTGCCATCTGAAATTTAATCACAACTGCCTGTCACAACGCAAAATGTGATTCCACCATACAGAATCATACGGACAGAAGGAACCTCGACTGCAACAGACGTCGGTTACAAAGTGACGCTACCTCTGACCTCTGGTCTCAATAGTTCAGCTCGAAGTCTTCTTCCTGACTGGGACTCAACAAGTTGGAGCTTGATCGATCTCAGAACCACCACAGTAACTGTGAACATCCATCGATATCAGGTCAAGGATATCACCCGAGGACTTTCGACGCTGCCTACAAATTCACAACGCAGTAAACAATGGAACTTCAAGCAGTATGGTCTATTCTCACTGTTTCCTGGATGCACCGCTCATAATACAGAGATAGGCATCAGCACCTTCAGCACAATAACAAACGAAGTGCAGTCAACCTATATTCGATTTGGCAACATAATCATATCAGTGAGGGCACCCTTGGCGCCAAATTTGCAACTCCAAAACCAGAAAATGGATGCAGAATACCTAGAGCTACAACAGAAACTTATTTATTAATTCATTATCAAAATAATCCTTAACTGGTTAGACTCACTCATATCTGTCTTAAATAATAGAAAATAACAAAATTATATATGGAAAAGGAAGAGATCTGCAAGCAACCGTCTGACGGCACCCTTCCCCTGGCAAAAGTCAAAACGCATCCTAGCTGACAGCGCATTGTGCTGGCGAACCGCCCTACAAATGGGCTCATTTCA